AACCTATACAATCTATCTGACATCAATCTGGTCAAGATCACGGATTGATTTGACGCCAGATGGTCATATAAATTATCTATGTTCCTAGTATCCTGTACACTTATAGGTAGCTGACCTCACCCCATACAACAATGCTTCGCGGAGACGATACCGAGTTCTATTGAAAGCGATACCTATGGTTTACTTTCAACGCTCACATAATAATTTGATAATTGTCATTGTTTTTAGCCTGCTTTAGGAATAGACTATAGTAAATTCATAATCTGTTTTCAATCTGTAGGTTGTATTATGTGACGTTATCATACTAATATTATAAATGCGAAAGTTTGTGGAAATGATATATTTGTTAGTCTTTTACGTAAAAACTTTTGAACGGATTTTGATCATTTTTGGCATACAAATATCTGCCAAGTCTGTAAACCACACGGTCGTAGTCGCTGCCGGAAAGTCATTTAGAAATTTAATAGCTACGATAGTCTTCGCGTGCATTATGATATATCTTCCCGTAGTTGAAAGAATTTTCATGAACGGATTGGTATTTCCGAAGATGGCCACAACCGGATAAAGTTGGAAACTTTACTCCTTTATAATAATATATGTATAGATCGATATTATACAATAACTAAACAACATTTTAATACAAACTATTGCATTGAACTAGCAAGTGATTTGTGATGTTAACCTTGATATGTAGTAAGATTATAAACATTATGCTTTGTTGAAAGCCCAATCGACACGATATTCGTATAGTAAAAACGGATTTAGATATAATGAGCTGCATATACAGTCTGAACTCATTGTTTCAAATATAAGTCTTATATTTACACAATAAGGTTGATTGTGCAATATTCTTTATGACAGTGCCTCCAATCCGTAGGCTTAGATTCGTTTATTTAGTCTTACTGTTACATCAAATAGCTATTGTTTGAAATTATTAGAATAAAAAGGTGAATAAAGTATTACCTCCAATTTATCTCATGGTTATTTTTTCATTACAATAAATTTCGAAACTAAATCAAGGCAGACTGTCTATATAATATGCAGAGCAATCAGAATGTCTTTTAGAAAGGCTTTGTGGAATGGAGAATTTCGTCACTTATGTAAAATTTTTAAACAAATCGTAAGTGGAAAAACCAGTTGTCATTGTTTTTAACTTTTTTTTTATTATTAAAATAAATTATGATTATATTTCGGTTATCTTGAGCCTCGAAGTTTCCATGAAGATCGATTGATTAGTGCGATGTTATTTTATCTATACTATTGGAAAACGTTCCGAATTACTGGACTTGTTTTGAAATTTTATATAATTTAGCTTGGAAATAATATATATTAATAAATATGATTTAAAGTCCAAATAAATTATATTTTAAAACTACTGTGCTGATTTTGATAAAACATATGCTGTTCCTTAGGTTTAAATCTAATTACTTAATAAAAAATTGCGATCAGATGTAATATTTGCGAGAAATACCTGAAGACACATTTATAGATAGTAATGTAACATATATGAATATTTTGCCATTAAAACGAAATTACATACATGCAGGCCAAATTGGTAACCTCCTTTAGTGATGTCGTTTATAAACAACAACTATAGTGGCCATTATATCAGCCAATCAGATATCATTATAATGTAAGTGTTAAATGAATCAGTAACATCATTAATTAAATTTGATTGTAGTTTTCGATTAAGTATAACATTGAACTTTATAGGACTACCTAATCAGAGATCAGCAATAAAGCGATATTATTATCCATATCATATTTATCTCTAAACCATTAGTGACGCATAAATTGTATTTGAAAGGAAATGTAAGTGTAAAGAGTTTAAGTGTTAGAGTTTATATTGAGTAATCTAAGGAGGCTTAAATTGATATACAATTTAACATATGAAGCTGGACTAGATCTAGTTGTAATTACAAGTCGTTGGCGAGTTAGGAAAGTGGGTACTAGTCTATAAATTCGAATTTGGTTTGATATAGATACGAGCGGCATAAGAACGTAAGTATAAAAACTTTGCAACCAAAACAAAAACTGGTAGAGTGTGCACCAGTTTTCAGTATAACTTTTGTGAGATAATTTCAGTAAAACATATAGTTTTTTAGTAAGTTTTGCTGTGTGGTGACGGCAGAATAGAATACAACTGCCACCCTTACTCTTCCTGAGGGTGTCGTAAGAGCCAACAAAGGGATTACACACTAAGCAAAGAATGGGCAGCAGCGCTCTCTGTTTGATAATGCGATCTCCTATCCGCCTATCAAGCGTGGAGTTTATAGTAAAACCCTTCACTTACGTGGAGGAGGGCCTTAGTCCTGCAATGAAGTATCGAAATAACATTTTCATCATCAGCTTATAAATTGATGGGATTCACGATTTCTCTATGGATGAAATCCTATAAGAAGAACGAGTCATAACACACAACGTGCGACCAGTGTGGATTGTTGAATGATTGATAATAACGCATGCAAATGCAATCGGGATAGCTTGAGGATAGTAAATTTTTGGTTACCCATCTTATGACCTGCCCTTATCAAAGTTGCTTAACGTTGCATGCAAATAGAGTGCACTAAACACTGCGCTATGGCGCTCCTAAACAAATGTTTGTGATTGTAAAAAAAAATATTTTTTCTGAGATATTATTTTTTATCGAAAATTTTCTTGCCTCTCTCTGAATCGCAGAAAGATTTTGTGATCGTAGCTAGGTCTTTCGCAATCCTAGTTACTACTCTAACAACTGAGATAGCACTGGTTATATAATAATTAAGCGAATAATATTGTATTACTTGTAATTTCAACATGGCATAAATTTCAAGTTATTACTTGACCGTGTCCTGAATGTTTTTCAGATAATAAAATTACAATAATACCTAATTGAACAAGATAATGTATATTTAAGGCCGTTCTTATTACATATCATATGATTGTGTATAATATTACTAGCTGTACACTGTGGTTTCACCAGCCATGGCTTGGCGACGAGACGTGTATTCTACCTTAAGTATCAAATACAAAGAGAACTTTGGAAATTTATTCATAAAAATGTTCCTATTATTATTTTATTCACTTTAAGGATAAATACCCAAAAATATTCAAATACAGTGGAATGGTAATGTTGATTAAGAGTTTCGAATCTACGCATATAAATACAGAAAACAATGTGTGGCACTCAATTAATCGAACGCTTTATATATGTTGTATTTGGTCGAAATTAACAGATGATGATTAGTCATATAGACTTTCTATTAATTCTCCCAGCAATATAAATTACCCTGCCAAGTTACATCCAAATCCCTGCATTAGATTTTGAATTCTAAAAAACATTCAAACAGAAAAGAATATAATTGTTATGCATTTTTGTTATTAGTACAGGCTAGTTGTTTTGCTGAGACTTGGCTCGCGAAGTTATAGCCTATGACAGTCACCCACGTATGATATAGCTTCCCGTTAGTGAATTTTCTAAATTGATCCTGCAGTTTATGCAATGCCTACTCAATGCAAACAAACAGACAATCAAATCTTTTATAATTATAATATTAGTATAGATTATTTAGAGTCACGTGGGGCAAGAATTTGCACGTTATATATTTTTTAGAAAACAGTAAGCGAAACGGATAAAAATAATGTGAAACAATTAGTAAATAAATTATAAGGGACGTTGCACCTGTGAACGAGGTACCTACTGAGGGGAATGACGCAAGCTCTCGTGTTTTCAAAAATTTTTTTTGTTACTTATGCTCTATACTAAATAATCTAATAAACTTTCCTCGAGTCAAACAGAATTTTCAGCCAATTTAGGATTTTAAAACGATAATTAGATCTTGTCGATACGATTGTAATATTTATCTTTTCTCATCGAGTCTCATTTCAAAATTCAAGTTGTTTGAAATCTCTCAATATCTAGGTCGTTTCCAATTTTGAAGGGAACTTATGTAACATTGAAACAAATGTGTGAAGGTGTATTAAATTCAATTACTGTGGGCGTAATTAAGTTGTGCATTGTGCTTAATTTTTAAAAAATACAAAGTCGGTAACAAAAATTATGTTTATGTCATACAAGTTATCGTCGTTTAAAGATGTAACGAGAAGAAATCGAGTCCGTAAGACCAATACTGTACGAAATAAAGGCGAAAATTATATTTTCTCGACTTTAAAAAGAACGACGTCTATATTCGACTTTGTCCCCGTATTATAAACTGATTTTTAATTTTGTGATCTCCCATTTATTTTGAGATGATTCTCCGAATTTTGTCGAAATCGGATAACCAGATTTGAATTATATCAAAACGATGAAAAGAATTATGCCGTCGAACGTAATAGTTATGTTTATATATATATTTTAATTTAGGGATTAATTGCAGTGCCCTCTAGGAGAAACTAACGAAACTTTGTTATGACGATTGAAGTAGAGTCAACCCAGGCGCTGAGAGCGTCTAGTTGTTGTTGAAAGTAAACTGTGTGTAATGCGTTATATTAAACATAGATGTCTTGTAGGTGTATAATGTAATGGACATTGTAAGTAACACGTGATTTATTCTGCATCCTGTTATCCGCTTATGGTGGAGATGTCGGATGTATATTAACATAGGTATGTATATACCACAGGGATTTCTTAATGAAATAGTGTTGGTAGTGTAAAATGCTTAGAAATCAAATTTGCCCCGGCACTCTGAGATGGGAATCGAACCCATAACCTTTCGCAATCCGGGAGATTGCTCTAACTACTAAGCTACCCAGGACCTAAGAGGGCTGACGCATTTTTTAAGCACTTGTTGTTTTTTCGCTACAACAGAGCGTATTTTAAGAAATGTTCAGGCACTCTACCCAAACAGCCGAATGAATTTCATTTCGTGTAAATCGGCCGTTTCGAAGGACGCCACCAAAATCGTGCCCAAAAACATTATTTTGTGGTTTATTCAAAAGCTATTAATATTTGGTTTTAGGTATAAAGATTAAAAAAATGGTAACGAGATTCCACTGGAATGATAATTAGATATTCCGCAATGGTAATGGTCTTTGTAGAATTAGAAATAAATAATATATAAATAAAAATAGGCTTTAATTTATCTGTAAGTCTTTTTAGTAAATGTCTTATAGTTCAATTGGTTCTATATTTGGTGCAGTCCATTCGTGAGTCTTTCTTTGTACAAGAGAACAATGACTGCTCAACTACAATCTATCGGTATCGTTCTTGCTTACCAGCATAGATTACATAAGATCCAAAAAACATCAAGTATTCAAACAACACTTAACTTGATCATCTCTGTAAATTGATTCTCCTTATTTTAGACTTTTTGTCGACCGTTTTGTCTGTTTCATAATAACGCAAGCTCCATCTCGAACTCGCTCACTGTATCAATGTTCTGAAAATAATATCAAAATATTCTCTCAGCCGTTATACACTATTGTACACTATATATGTTAGGGTGGCGTTAAGTATCTGCATGAATCTCCCCAGACAATACTCGGATGAGCAACATTTGGTTGGCTGTGTCATATCACTGCCACAATATCTGAAGACTTTACAGCGTAACAAAAGCCCTTAATGACCTGTCAGCTCTAAGCCTCAACCAATCCTCATTGGTCTGCTGTAAGTTTGTTTATTAAACTACAAGATCATTCAGGAATTAATTTGAAATTTGAAACACGATATACAAAGAGTAGAAGATTAATATATCAAACAACATAATTTCAAGAAAATTTAGAAGGTTGTTTGCTGTATTGTTCTTTAAGAAAAAATTAAGATATTAATTGTATAAATATTAACTTGAATATCATACTAAGTTACATGGTAGACTCCTTGGTCATTTTGCTTGTTGCGCATGAACAACAAAGTTGCACATAATGACTTGACATAAATACAAGATTTTTTAGTAGATGCCTCGTTTATCTCTCCGAAGGTTTGCATACAGTTGTATCAGTAATGTTAATTGACAACAGGACCTTTGTCGATGCTAATGTTTCCGCCGACTACAGCATTGTTTCACTTATCTGATGATATCCTCATATAAAAAGAGGGCAGTGCTAGAACTGATCCTTCAATGTGACCATAGAGCTTGATAGTGGTGTTCTCAAATATGGATTTCGTATATCTAAAGGCACGTTTCATATTTAAAAGTTGATGTTTTTTGCTAATTTAATGTCTTATTGTGATTAATGTGTTTTGCAATATACTGTAGTAAAGTTTGTTGTTGATGAATAGATTACTTTTAATTGGAATGCAAGTTAAAAGTTATGAAGTTTTATTCAGTGATTTATTTTATATTAAACGAGTAACCTAGTTAGTGTGGCATTCTAAATTATAAATTAGTAAAGCTTTTTGCCAATATCAAACGTGTAATTATACGGTTTTATAATTTTGTATAAAGCAAAAATATATTTACATCCTAGGGAAATTGGATGTCATTCAAACTATCAAAATTATTGCATAACAGTTATAAAAAAGGAATATCTATATAGAAACAGAATAATTGTTATTCTGTGCAGAAAAGCTCAAAATTTTTGCAAAAGATCAATGCAAATTAATCTCTCTGAAAATGTTTTTGTTGCAATAGCTAAAAATACAAAATGAATATTAAAGAAGTGTTCACCTGTCGATGAAAAATTGCTTACTAAAATATTAATATTTCCAGATAAAGACTTATTATATGTTTCTTTGTTTTCAGAGGATTACTCTGTAGTAAGGTAGTATACATATGTATACTACCTTATAAGTTATTATAGGTGATAATTGAGAGCAGTTTTAAGATGGGCAATTATTTTAATTATTAAATTTAAAAAGTTTAACAATTAAAATCTAAAATCTCTCATTTATAAAAAAAGAAAAATATGAACAATATAGAATACAGTATATAATAATTTTGTTCATTAACACGAACAAGCAAATGATGAGCATGTTAAACGTAATAGTACCATGTAAAAGCGCAGTATACACAAGACCAATAATTTAGCCATGTTCCAAGTCGATGATTACATTTTAATGAAGAAATTTAATCAAATTAAGATTATATAAATGAAACAAATCAAATGTTATCAAGTTAATCGGTTGATTATAATTTGCAGATTGTACTACTGGTGAACAGTTGGTTGATTACAAGTGGATCTCCTGTTGCGATGCTGCAACATGCTACCTCATCGCAGAGTATAGTGTTTCACCCCTCGTCGGCTGCATCCACTTCCTCTCCTGTTGTTTCAGGTCTGTTGTATTTTTGCCTATTCTACTAATATTACTTATTTTAGTTTAAACACTTTTATCATTTGTTTTAGCTTTATTGTGCGATTAAAGCGTATAATTGGCGGAATCAATGCCATTAGACATTCTCTACTACTACTACTTTTCGTTAAAGTTTTCACGATTTTCCAAAATAAATTAACTACATTACTGTTACAATTTATATTATTATCATTTTATATGATTTTTATCAGAAACTATAATTGTTTATTGTAACAAACAATGACAAAATAGACTAACATATATAAATTTGTATATTTACAGCTTCTTCAGGCGATCAGTATAGTGGAAATCAGGTATGTAATTATAAAATTTTACATATAACTGCATCAGAGTATTTCAATTTTAAAATTTCACATTATATCAACAAAATAAATAGGTGATATACATATTTTAGTTTCGCATTACGTTTAATGTCTCCTTATTGGATCTTTATTTATTTTCTATTGTAGCCAAAGTATGAATATAAGTACGAAGTGTCGGATCACCAGACAGGTGACAGGAAGAGTCACTGGGAGAGCAGGGAGGGGGACCGGGTGCATGGAGGTTACACCCTATATGAGCCTGACGGCGCTTTGCGTACTGTCGAGTACTCTGCGGATGCTTTGCATGGGTAATATTAATAATTATTGAATATGTTATATGTTCCATAGAACACGTTATAAGGTCACCTGGGGTATTTGTAGTCAGGGGGCAATCTGATTGAAATAATTTAACTAAGATGTTATCCTATGGCTAGAGTTAGGCATTCGCTCTCACCTCCCAGTTTATGCAGTGAAAAAACATTCCAAACAGAGTGAATCCTATCAAACAGTTTGCGTTTGTCTGTTTACGATGCATCAAATAAATTCACAATACTAAGTCAACTGATCTATACAATATAAGCACATCTACACTGCTTCACTGATGTGATCTAATCTTTATATAACGCAACTGAGAATTAATACTAAGAGAAACCATAATCTAAAATTATTTCCAACCAAAAATCATTATAACGATAAGAATAGTGACCATAAATCAAGATTTACACGAATACTAACGTATTTATTGACAATAGTACATAGAAATTTAAATTTTTATCTGTATTTTGCGTGTTGATAACCCTGATATGTATTTTTAACTGACAGTTAAACGTTCAAAGGAAACATCCGATTCCAAAGTAATTAAAATGGCCTCCAGGTGACAACTTATTTTGACACATGCGAAAGGTATTGCCAAATTTTAAACAAAAAAACTGCTGCAAAGTATACATACATGAGAAAAAATAAACGAAATGCTTAATTTTCGCCACAATATTTTGTTTCTTTTAATAATAAATAGTTGAAACAAACCCAATAAATTGTACAGAATATGTTATTATAGGTTATTGAAAGATAATTGCTCATCATAAAATAAAAAAGGATAGCATTCGTACTATAAAGTAATCAGAACGAATTGGGGCATTAAAAAAATATACGACAAACATACGGTACCATAATTAAAAAAAGAAATACCTTCACATACTAATGAAGCAATGATTATTTTAATAATATCCAGTATCTGTATGACTCTAATTTATCATTGATAATTTAAATGCATTCATTTATATTCTCGATTATTGAATCTAATATATATTTTAAATCATTTAACGAATCTATAAAAATTAAAAAGGTACATTTTTTCTGCCATTGACCTTTTAAGAATTTAGTTCTGAATGAGGCGTGACAAAAATTCAAGTTTATGCCAAAATTTTAGGAGCCCGTGACACATTTCTAAAAAAAATGTTGACATTTTCCTATTATTGTGCTCATTTAACATCTCTTTATATTTATGATACCAATTAAACACTAATTTTCAGGTTCAGCGCAGTAGTAAGAAGAGACGAGCCCAATAAGCATCAGCACTCTAGACCTGATAATTCATACAATACTTTATCATCGCATTCTCACGATAGTTACCATCAACCGTCTGCCCAACAACGCTACATCCCTGAAAATGGTTTCTCTAATGCAGGACACGCAGACAGTCCCACGTATTCCGGGTCTGGCGGATCATTCAATTCAGCAGTGGGGTTTAGCGTTAAACACATAATGGAATTGAAAAAAGAACAATCTAAGATATTTTAAAGGAAGTTATTTCAATGCAACAGGACAGCTTTATATCACATAGAGTATATTATTTATTAAACAAGACACGGTAATTTCTTGAGCTGCCATTCTATTATAATAACAGCCTGGAAGTCGTTGTCACATCACATCGAACGCAGTGTTGTCACATCATAGAGGTTCAATATAATAAAATCTACTTGGAAAGGTAATAAAAGTTTTATTTCGTTGAAACTCTATGTCGTGACAATCACTGAGTTCAATCTTTTGATCTTATAATAACAAGTTAGCATAGTACTAAGTATATTTTGATATTATTATTGTAGATTATAATTGATTGTAATACGGCAATTAATTAATATAATTACAATGTACCATCAGGAATATTATCGAAGTATGTAATCATATTTACTTAATCAATAATTAGGTTAAACCTATAATAAGCTTTGTTCTGTAGTTCGTGTTTCATTAGAAAAATAACAACCATGTAAAGTTATTTCAATCGTCAACTTATTTAAGATTACCTTGGTTTTTCATGTATTAATTGAGTAGAGACAGTTCCAAATTTTATTATATTTTTTTTAATATTACCATAATTTTTGACACGTCATGACAGATTACATATAATTGGAAAAGTTTGAGTTTCAACACTTATATTGTTTGTAATTTGCAAATTATGTTAGTGGAGAGTGGAGAATAAATAGAGAACATGGCATTATTGAATGATATTGAAGTACCTAAAAATATACTATTTTGAAATAGCATGGAATTTGTACTTTAGCATATCTACCTCTTTGTTGCTTAGAACAAAGATTATTTTTATTGAGTTTTATAATAGGTATAGTGTAAAAATGTTTCACCTTCCGTAGAGCACCGAAAAATCAAGAAAACATTGTTCATTCATTATCAAAGATAATGAACAGACATAGAAAGTAGATATTGACATTAAAAGGAATAATTTATCAAGGATATTAATAAAATTCCAATGTTCTTTTCTTATAGTTCAGTATATTTTCATTTTCCAGCGCTGGCATTTTGTATGTTATAAATTGAAGTATACAGAAATTCGATATAAATATTGTCGTGAGATTTAAGGGGAGGTTCGTAGTAAGAGATCCGAGTTTAATGATGTCCGGGGTTACCATGAACATGATGATGGGGATGATGATGATGTGTGGTGTGGTGCACCGTGGCGACAAATCTGTAATTAAAAAATCAATATTCTATAGAATTGTGCAATTTATATTATCTTTATTGCTGGTGTGTTGTAATGTAATTTTTTGTAATGAAAAAAACGTGCTCGAAAAGATTTCAATGATTTACATCTAGTTGCACAAACATCCTTTATAATTGTCATTAGTTTATAGTAACATTACTAATTACAAATATTCAAATATCGAACATTCTTTAAAGCATTAAACTTTTATGGAGGTTTGTGCAAAGGAATTAATTACATTAAGTTAAGGAAGAACTAAGTTCAAATGACAAATAGAACATAATAAGATATATAAGTTAGTTATTAGATATTATAATAAAAGTAAACTGGCAGCATAAATGAAAGTCACGTAAAGAAAGTCTTATCTCCATTAATTAAAGTTTAAGATCAGTCCATGACTAATAGACAAAATCTTAAACCCCACAGGCTAGTAACATAATGCCGGTATTTTACAAGTGTTACAGGTATTTCACGTAAGAGGATTCAATAGAGGATAGATATAGATATCAGCTAACATCATTCTCTACAATACTTCAGTTATCCCGTCATTATGGCGCATGCAAAGAAAAGGTAGCAACTCTGCAATGTGAGTTGGTTGGATCATCTCTGTAGACGATTCTTATAGAAATTTTGTGTTAGAGACTACAGCTTCTAGATAATTTCAAAAATATATGAATCTTTTATAAGAAACGATTGCTTCACCGCATGCGGAGAAGCAATGGAAATTGCACTATAGAAATCGCCTGCATCCCGCATATGGGCCTTATTGACCGATGTAAATGAGGTCGAATATAATGAATTAAAGGGTTTAGCCGGATACGTATGACGAGTCGGCCCCCAAATGGGAATCGATATTGAAACTTATGTTTTAATATCGACTTGATGTTCAAACACGATTTATGTACTTTTCGCGACCGACTTCCGCTTTGACCTTGAGATAGAGAGCAAAATATCCGTATGCTTGACTATTACTGAATGTGATATATCTCTGAAGCTAATTAAGATAAAGAAGTGAAACTAACGCGAGGTGTTAGGTTACATTACAGAGTATATCACATATATTTTTTTATAATTTTTAGAATAAAAAATTACATTAAAAAAATAAAAATAAAAAATATCATGTTTTTTTTTCTGACTTCTCTGTGACTTACAATCACGAAATTAATATATGTTATGCTCCTTTGTATGCTCTATCACCCATAAAAATTGCGTGAAAAAAAAGTTGGTGCAACACAACGGAAAAAAATTATATGTGATTCGCGCCTTGTAGTGTGAGTGTATAAACAAACAAGTTCGAACTTGTTATCGAGCTGTTTACTGCATCGTTTGTTTAGCTAAAGTAGCAGTCATTTGTATTACACAAGAAGGCAGTTTGGGACTCAAATTCTGTCATAGGTATTTTGTATCAGCATTTTGAAATTATTAACTATCGAACCAAATCATTATTAAGTAATAATGTCGAGAAAGTGTAAAAATTGTAACAAGTACCTGTGTAAGATTCCAGGAGACCAGGATAACCAAGATAACCAGGAGGTTATAAAAAAATTATAAAGAATGAAGAAGAAGCTAAAGTGTTTAGTGACTGTTTGAATAAAATCGTAATAGTTAATGATATTTTTTGTAAGAAGTGTCGACTTATCCCATATATTAACAAAAAAGCTTCTACTTCTAAATGTGCAGCATTTAACTTGGCCGAAATAATGGACGATCAAAATAATCTCTCAGTACAATATGTGAAATCAGCACCTAATATCATCAAAGTAGAAGTAAAATCAAGACATATAAATAGAAAAGTCTATCGAATTTACATTTACTATATTTCCGAAGGTAATGACTACAATAGTATTCTTCGTTATTGCTGTGATTGCCCCAATGGCAAACGTACAGTGGGATGCTGTTCTCATGTAGCAGCTATTATTTATTATAGATAATAAATAATAGCTGCTACATGAGAACAGCTGTGATAGATCACATCGATGATATTTGTCCAAAATCGTACGTCCTGCTGAGGTCCTAACTAAGTTATTTGCGACTCAAAGTGTTCCGATTGTAATTAATTACAACAGAGACGATAATTAATATTTTGTTTCTTGTATTTTGATAGACACGAAAAAGTAATAATAATGAGTATTGAACACTGGCTGTTTTTTTTTTCATTTCTTTTTTAACTATTATCCCATCTCTTAAGACTAGTTACTTATGTTTTAAAACAAGCTGATGTGAAATTTCGAAAAAAAAAACAATGATGTAATGTGAAAACCTTATAATACAGGGGTATACCATAAGACAGAAATCACATATAATTTTTTTTCGTTGTGTTGCACCAACTTTTTTTTCACGCAATTTTTATGGGTAATAGAGCACACAAAGGAGCATAACATATATTAATTTCGTGATTGTAAGTCACAGAGAACTCAGAAAAAAAAACATGATTTTTTTATTTTTTATTTTTTTAATGTATTTTTTTATTCTAAAAATTATAAAAAAATATATGTGATATACTCTGTAATGTAACCTAACACCTCGCGTTAGTTTCACTTCTTTATCTTAATTAGCTTCAGAGATATATCACATTCAGTAATAGTCAAGCATACGGATATTTTGCTCTCTATCTCAAGGTCAAAGCGGAAGTCGGTCGCGAAAAGTACATAAATCGTGTTTGAACATCAAGTCGATATTAAAACATAAGTTTCAATATCGATTCCCATTTGGGGGCCGACTCGTCATACGTATCCGGCTAAACCCTTTAATTCCTTAGTGGTCTTACCCGTTGTGATCATCAGCAGTGTAGTGAACGGTTCGTACGTTGCCATCGGGTTCCACAAGGGAATAATGACCCTTCACAGCGTCGCCGTGGCGTTGCTCTGACTGCGATTTGTGGTCGCCAGTGTGAGGATCGGCCACACCATACGAAAATTGATAGTTGGGGTGAGACGAGGCCGAAACCTGTTAAAGAAAATATATCATGAGATTGAGAGAAGTCAGGTTTGACTACGGTGCTCAATTCATGCACATTCCAATTGGCATCAAATTCAGAGAGCATGAAGATCGATTTTATTACTAGTTAGTCATAGAAAAAGAAAGGTTATAGAAAATCACACAAATTTAAGTAATAGAAAACCGAAAAAAAGTTCTCAAAAGAGATTTTTTTTTATAGAGTCGATCGTTAATATTCATTATAGCATTTCCGTTTTCACAAAATGTTAGATTATATGTATAGTTTTAATTTTTCTTTTGCGTGAATGTTATGGTGTCATTACAAAATGAACTGAAACTGATAAGTTTTAAAATAACTTCGAAGAATCTTACGTGATCATGACTGTGTGCGTCTACGATTGCATGTCCGTGGGCAGGTCCATGACCGTGGTGAGTCACTTGTGTGTGGCTCACTGCGTGACCTTGGTGAGCAGCATGTCCATGACCGTGGTGGGTCACTTGTGTGTGGCTCACTGCGTGACCTTGGTGAGCAGCATGTCCATGACCGTGGTGGATTACTTGTGAGTGGCTCACTTCATGACCATGGTGACTAGCATGTCCAAGGTGTCCAGAAACGTCAATAGCACCGTGTACTACAGGAGCAACCAGTACGTGACTGGGTTCGTGTCCGTGGTGTATTACATGTCCATGGCTTATAGCATGGCCATGGTGGCTAACGTGGCCAATATGGTGGCCATCATGGTGGTCGGTGCGAGACTGATGCGATACAGCTACAGAATGGCTGTTGGCGCCTAAAACTAAAAGAGTCAATGCGACTACCTGAAACAATTATTTAGAAATGTATATAAGGATGTGATGTAATACATGATTATTAAGCTAGCCAGGACAATATAAAAAAAACAATTTTATTTTTTAAATGTTAAAAATATATGTGCTCAACTCATGTATCTGGGACGAGCGATTTTTTAATCATTTTGCTTAAAAATAAATATCAATATGGCATTGTGAACTCAAAATTGATCAACTGTAATAGTGAATTATGGTTTGAATTTCTGGCCAATGGAAAATCTGTCAAAATTGACAAGTAATCTTGCGTATTTGTAGTATAGTCATTAAAGTTTTTTATGCATATATGAAATTGATATCATTACGAATTTTTATTGACCACGATTGCTTTGAATTGTTTTTATCTGTTTATTTAATTGCCAAATACATACAGCATATGGAAACTCAAATTCGAAGATATATTCTTGATAACTTACTTGGGACCACATGTTTGATTATACTTCTTTGTCTGCTACTACTGAACTACCGACATTACCAAATATTAGTCCCCTTTTATTGTAGCCGATTGATGTTTTCTTTTTAGGCCTCAGTTTAAATTATAGTTTAAGTAGGTGTTCCCAATAAAGCAATTAGTTAATTAGACATATATTGAATCATTAAATATTGCAATGTTACAATTCAAGTGTTCCGTAGCTACAAATCTGAAATTATAAGTAAGTATAGAAAATATTAAAAACAAACATAACTATCTCTGACTTCCAGCGAGCGGCAAGGAGTATGTGATATTCTCTTTCATGAGACCACTTAACAGACAAGGCGCATAGTGGAGGAATATAAAAATTAATTGTACTAACCTGACAAAACGCGACTTATCGGCCGTTTTCGCGAGTAGACCGGCGTGTAGATGTAGGCTACAAGCACCACATAGACTGCAACGGCTTGCTCGGTCATTTAATTCGCGGTCTCTTCGACGGCACTGGTGGCGTTACAATAGCATATTTTATCTACGTGTCAATCATCTTTTTTTACTATCTTTTATTTAATTATTTTCCTCTTTTTTTGTTTCTAACTGTATTATGGTTTCAACCTCGACCCATTTAAAGCGAGGAGGGCCTATTCCTGATTCAAAAGATCTGGTTTTATTCTAAAGATGTATCTCGGAACTCATAAAAGGGGGTCTACTCCTACAATCCAGCAAAGCGTACATCACACTAAACAGACCTTATACATATGTACAAAGCAATTTTTTAAATTTCTTTTGTCGATATTTACAAGCAAAAGTAGGTGTAATCCGAATATTTTTGTCGTGCATTACAAAAAGTGACTTGATCATTAAACTTATAGCAGATGGATTAAATAATACTTTCTTGCAGAACTCTAGTAGTTACGCAATCTGTATTTCCTACCCGACAGGCACGGACGAGGATCATCGCAATTATTTTGCTATGATCATCCTCAATGGGTTGATTGCACGTCACTGTTTGTTTAAAACATACCTACATTGTAATAGGTATTTAATTTGTTATCATAATGGTATGCATCAAGTGTGGTGTTTGATGGTGCAGCGGTTAGCACGTTTGGTCTGCGATGCAAAGGTTAATTAATTTTCTGAACGGTCAGTTTGATATCTCAGATCTTCCTGCTTCGGAAGGAACGTTAAACCATTAGTACCGGCTGCATCTGCAGTCATAACACCCGTCGTCTCGATTTTACATTCCATTTATATGGAGGCCTGTACTCCAGCAGTGGACACATGTATGAAGATGAAATGATCTTCAATTTACAAAAAGGCTTAAAACATATTGAAAATATTGGGAGAAGACAAAAGATGAATAGACTGCGTGAAAGATAATGTGGCGAAAAAAGGTTGAATGTTGAAATAATTTATTGATTCTATCATATAGGTGAAGCTCAAATTAAATTATATAGTTCTAATAGAAAAAAATAAAGGCAAATGAGTAATATCGTCATTATCAGCCCTTTAATATCCCTTTGTTGTGGCTATGGATGGAATCTAATATTGCACTGGGACCGCGTGGTGAGTTATAGCCCATCCTCTTTGTTCGATTTGTTTGGGTTCCATCCATAGGGAAGGCCTATGGGAATATCAATAGGCTGGTAATGACGACGATTTAATAACGGAAATATACAACGCGTAAACACTAACATCTGGAAAAAAGGCGCGTTTATTTTAGTGTTAATCAACTTTCAAGGGCCACTGAATGATAAATATATTATCTGTAACTGTTAATGCATCGAGAAGCATGAGTAATCGTTGTACTCGGCTTCAAATACCTTCCTAAACAGTTATCAGGGGGTCAATTCTACTAAATAAAATTTGTTGTGACATACGATACAATTCCAGTTCTATATTGTATCGCATGTCACTTAGTAGAATAGAAAAACCATAAAAACTGTTTCGTTCGCTTTGATCCGTTTTCGATTCGATTTAAACAAAATTTATTTAGTAGAATTGGTTCTCTGCACTATGCCTACGCAAGGATTACAGTCAGTGTATATGAATAGGTTTCTATCTAAAAATTAGTGTCATAAAATAATGAACTTGAAAATCAGCTTTCTCCAATAAATCATTTCCGATGTACTAGGGAATCACGATTCGATGCACTCAATGATTGAATAATATTTGAACCAATAGGCAGTTCACACGTCTATTATAATTGCTCGCGTGCGAACTTCTTAAGGATATATTAATTGCGTTAAATGAAATGATATAATCATATACAATTATAATTATTGTTTAACAAAAAAGGTGATATGTATTAACAATTAATATAACTATATACACCACTCAATTTAGTCATGTTTTGTTCGCGAATACATGTAATTACGAGTATAAACATAAATTTAAATGAATCCTTAAATTTGTTATTACAAAAATATGTATATTATTTCTACAGCCGACAATGTGTCAAGATACATCTAATGCTACTACTACTCCTATAAAAAGTCAAATAATAACCGATTATAAGTTATAATATCTTGTTGGTTAAGTTTATAATCGATTGCATTTTGACCTTTTATGCCGCTGCCTTAACTAATATATTGCTACATGTTCATTTAGAATAAAATAAATATACAGAAAACCTACTTTTTGGTTAAAATATGGAATATTTAATGGTGATGGTGGAGACCGATGAAACGTAAGAACAGCATATAAGGTTTGACATTCAACCTTACGCTCTAGTGGGATGGTTCACCGCATACTAAGTAACGCATAAGGAGAAGGAAGCCCTAGTTCTAGTCACTGCTCCCTTTTGACCATTTGGCATATTACTTTTCCGTGAACGGTTCTAATAATGTTGGATTATAATAAAATTAAGTGTTAATAGCTTTGATGTGTCAAAATTCGCTTCTTTGTAACTTGAACTGGCCAAAACCAAGTCATAATTTTAACATGGCCAAAACTACTTCCGTGAAAATCTTAACGGATCTTCCGACAGAGATGTTCCGGCTCTTTAATCGACAATTAAGTATTTGCTATCATAATAACTTTCTTATATTATATTTGACCGAGTATACTATGTCTTAAATAATTCCTGCACGCGCAGTGTTACCAACCCTACTGTTTTAACAGTAGATTTGTTGTTTTTATAATGATGCTTCTGTTTAATTCCGAATTTGTACTGTTTTTCAATTGGCGTTCAGCACCATCAACATGCTACTCATTTAAAGCCACTTAAACGAACATGAACAGATAAAAAAATATGTCTAATTTTAAAAAGGGAATAAATGAGTCTGAAAATACAGAAGATGAAGCAATTGAGGATGAAAGTGGAAAATAATTTAGTTTTTTATTTCAATTCAATTTTCATTTATTTATGCTCAATATGATAATATAATAATGTATGTAGTTCGTGATAACGAATAAAATAATGTGATGTTTTAATAATTTTCCTTGGTTTTTTGGGGTTGGTTAATAAGGTTAACCATATATAGTTGACATGGTTTTATTTTTGGAGACATAACATTTTTATACATATGTTTATTGAATATTAAATAGGATGGCATTATTATTAGATATTAGATAGGTATAAATCAAATATTAAAAGAAAGTAAAGCAATAGTTTTATTACATTCATTTTACTTATTATGATCTGTTGTGCTTAACCGTAATGGCGGCTATTTTCGTGCACAGGGTGTTCAACGTAGACATCTACACGTGGCCGTCTATACGAGCCATCATCGTGTACGTTGTACCGTGGTCGATGCCCATCACGTTCACTGTTTAGAGCAACGTCTTCTTGTCTGTAAGCTTTCCCTTGATTTTTGATGCGCAGATGTTCAATTAAGCTGTCATAATCTGGGAACTCTTTCGGTTCATCGTTTTTGCGGCCTTTTGGAAGGATGATGATCTGACCGCCCGGGCCGCGCACGTAGTCACGACCACCCGACTTCATGTACCTGTAGTCGAGGATTAGTTGGGGCTCCGCGTAGTCGGGACTATACACTTCATCTATAATCCTGTTGAAATATGTATGATTAGAATTCCACCTCCTCAAACATACATAAGGAAGGTTTGAACCCTTGTAGTGGGGATGTAAAAAGGCTGGTGATGATGATGGGAATTAATGAGTTACTTCTTGTTATACTAATCTATTACTGTATATGTCTCATTATCTCAGTACATAAAAGTACTTAATAGATATAAATGTGAATTGTAATGATGTTATTAAATATTTGGTTTGTAATAATCTAGAGAAAACACCAGTTTTTATCGAAAGTTCTTTCAATTTAAAAAAATATAATGTAGGCTCGCATTACTTATCGATGTCCTGAGTTAGACTTACCGTCTTATTGTTAAATTAGAACAAAATATAGCATTTTATTTAAATCCCGATCGGCCAAAGCATTTTGACAATGACAAAAGAGAAAATGTTAAATTAAGACTTGTAGACTTATTTTGTCTAAATCTGGTACTAAAGTCAGTCCTGCTTTTATGATAAGAGGGTTAAAGTTTTTTTTTTATTTGGAAATAAAATAACACTCACCTTTGATACGCGATATCATCATGATCCTGAAACAATAAGGTTATGTTTTAGTGGTACTTATCAATACGTGTTTCCTTTCTCTCCTATGAACCGGAAGATCATTATTTGCTCCTACTGAATGAACACATAATTTGTTTTATATTAAATTCCTAATGAAATCGCAGACTGAAACCACACTTATTTTTATTTAAAATTCATATTATTAAACAGACTTAGCGAAGGTTAACCTAGAATGAGGTTCTATGGGAGTAATATGTAATTCCTAGAAGGTAGTAGGTTTGCTTATTTTCTGTAAGTTTCTAAAAAATATTCTGACGCTAAACCTTGTTTATTAATAGCATTATTAAAGTTATAACCTAAGCATTCACAGAATTAAAACAAACTAACAGTTATTTATAGCTCCAGTAGAAACTGTTCTATTAAAGTTTAGGTTATGAGTTGTGATCTTTCTATTTATCAATTATAAAATCGAATTAAAA